ACCTAACTTACCCCCTCCCCCCCCCCTCCCCCTCCCCCTCCCCTCCTCCCCCTCCTCCTCCTCCTCCTCCTCCTCCTCCTCCTCCTCATCCGCCTCCGCCTCCGCCTCCGCCTCCGCCTCCGCCTCCGCCTCCTCCTCCTCCTATTCCTCCTCCTATTCCTCCTCCTCCTCCTCCTCCTCCTCCTCCTCCTCCTCCCTCCCTCTCCCGCGGGCGTCCTTGCCGCGCAGGTCGTCAAACGTCTCCTCCTTGCCGTCGCTGCAGAAGCCCGCAGGGTCCTCGCCGCGCGCGCCCGGAGCCAGAGAGAAGACACGGCTCGGCCCAGGGCTGGCGGGACGCACGAGGGGGCGGTCCTCCCGGAACACCGACACTTCTCACTCTTGCTGCGCCTCCCAGGGCGTCGTCGTCGCCACGGCGGAACGCAGCTGGGAGAACTGGCCAGGATGGGCCCCGGGACGGGGGCGGAGCGAGGGGGCGGTCTTCTGACAAGGCAAGGGGGGCTTCTTCGAAGGGCCTGGAGGCTTCCGCGAAGGCTTCTTGGAAGGCAGGAGGGCTGTACGCAGGCATGGGGTCAAGAACGAAACCCGGTCGGCCCAGAAGAGAGGCATGCGTCGACTAACGAAAGCTGGCCAGGTCGCAATCCACGAAGGCGTGGGGAGGCTCCTCCTTGCGTGGGCGGGCTTGTGGGGGCTCCTCCTTTGCCTCGCTTACTTACAAAACCAGCAGACGTCCGACGTCGCGAAAATTACACCGGCGTGGAGACCCTAAAGACCAAAGCTGCATAAAACGACACACGTGAATCGACATCGAAATGCGCGGGCACGGCACGGTGCGCGGGCACGGCACACCACGCGTGTACGGCACGGCACGGCACGTGCTCGGCACACTTGTCGCACTCGAAAGCGCGGGCACGGCACGGCACGGCGGGCACGGCACGGCACGCGGGCAGGACGTCTGCGCTGCATTCTGCCATGCGGGCACGGCACGCCTCGCATTCCAGAACGCGGGCACGGCGCGGCGCGGTGGGCACGGCACGGCACGCAGGCACGGCACGGTGCTCGCATCCTGCAACGTGGGCGCGGCCCGGCACGCGAGCACGGCACACCGTGGACGTGGACACGGCACGCAGGCACGCCACTGGACGCGCGCACGGCACGGCACAGCACGCGGCCGGCACAGTTTTCGCGATCCAGATTGCGTGAGCGGCACTTGAGCAGGGACCGACGGTCCCGGCATTCCTATAGTCCTACCACGAAATGTTCTTAGAACCCCAAAATATTCGAATAACAAAAGCACTTATCTTCGAACATTAACCCGATGTGTGAAAACAAGACAGTCCCAACCAGAAATGATCTAAGAACAATTCGCGGGAACCACACAAGGTTCTTAGAACACTACTTGGTAGGGCTATAGGCACGCCAGGACGCTTCGCCACTGCTTGAGGCACGGCGCGCGGGCACGCGGGCGGCACATTCTCGCACTCTACAACGCGAGCACGGCACGGCTCGGCATGCGGGCGGCACATTTCTCGCATTCTGAACCCCAGAAGCCGGTTCTGATAGTACCAAGAGGGCCCCTATTGCAGTGGCTGCTTGGGGAAAGACAGTCAGAGTCAATGTTTGATCCAAGTCTGGTGCTCTGAAGCCCGTTTCAGGCTCTGGGGTCATCAAGAGCTAGCCAACATGAAAACCTGGCACCAGAGATGGGATCGAGATCCGTGGGGGGGCACACCACACACACGCCATGACGTCGGATACCTCGGCAACATCCCCCGTCCTGATTCGCACGCTGGAGGCGGCTGTGGTCGTCGTGGCCGTCGTGGTCGTCGCCGTCGTCGTGGTCGTCGGGATGTACGCGGCTGTGGTCGCAACAATCCGTTTGGTGGTCGCGGTCGTGGGCGTGGATGCCGCAAATAAGAGGGAGGACAGACGACGGAGGGAAGACGACGGGGGAGGCGTGACGGCACAGGAAGGAGGAAGGGGAAAGGGTGCGGGAGGATGGACGACTAGTGTTCAATGTGCATATCGGGTAGTTGCTGTTTAAACTCCGAAGTTTGGGCGATCTAGTTTTCGGTCAGCGGTCCAGCTGCCAGCCCCAAACTCGACAGCTCAAACATGGGCGAAATGATCCAGCTCGGTCGTTAGCCATGTAGATGGTGAGCCAGAGTGAGCACACATGCCACGACAAGTGCAACGATCATACCCACGCTCCTCACGTCACTGTTAAGGCCACCCAGAGCGGCGAGGTCCACCCCGCCCCAGGACGGCCCAGACCGCGGTAGTGATCGGAGTTTCTGCCTCCCCAACATCATCCTCCCCCTGCGCCCTCCCTACCTCCCTCCTTCCCTCCTGCCTCATTTCCTTACTGCCGTCCTTCCTTCCTTCTGCGTTCCCCTTGCCCTTCCTCCTCATCCTCCTGCCTCCTGCTCCGCCTCCTCCTCATCCTCCTCCTTCTTCCTTCCTCCTCCTCCCGTCCTCCTCCTCATCCTCCTCCTCCTCATCCTCCTCCTCATCCTCCTCCTCTTCCTCCCTCCTCCCTGCCTGAACCCTCCCACGTCCGCCCCCCCGCCTCCTCCCTCCATCTTCCCTCCTTCGCCGCTCCTCCTGACATCCTGTGCTGCGATGGCTCGGTATGTCTCGGCCTTTGTCTTGTGAGTACTGGCTAGTGTCTGATCCAGATCATGTGGATTCCAGTAGCCTTCCTGACGAGCTGACGGCCTTTTTCAGGCCCTCGACCCTATGTGCTGACTGCAGCACCGTGGATCATGATCTTGTGCAGGACGTTGCTAGTTTCAATTAGCGTTCGAGGCCCAGGGGTACGTACCCGCTCTGATCGACCCAAGCGCTTGTCCCTGAGATGTCCCCGGTGTTGGAGCCCAATTTGGCTTCCTCCTCTGGGCCCATGGGGGCGGTTGACTCCGACTCGGAGGGCATCGAGGGCTCTGGAGGCGTCCAGGCGATCCGGCAGCGCCAGGAGCGAGGCCCGAGCTGCTCCAGGCCACAGCAGGCACCGCCGGGAGCAGGCTCGTGCCAGGCGCGGCCTCCGCCGCTCGCTGCCCGCGGCTGGCCTGTGCAGGTGCTTCCAAGCGGGCGGGGGCGACGACGGGCAGGCGGGCCGAGGCTTGCCGGGGTGAGCAGGGGTCTCCCAGCCCATCTCTCGTTGTTGTTGCTTCGCTGCGCCGTTGTCATGCGTCGCGCTTGGCACTTATCATGTGCTGCTGTCTAGGCTGGCGATGAGCCTTCGCGAGTCCTTGGGTCCTTGAACCCCTCCACCCTCCCTCTCCTTATTCTTCCTCTCTCCACCTGTCAGCCAGCCCTGCTCCGTCCCCCCACAACCCTGGGCCTCGGCCTCTCTCTCTCTTTTTTATTTTGTTTTGCTTTGTTTGCTTTCTCTCTCTGTCTCTCTCTCTCTTTGTCTCTTCTCTCTCTCTCTCTCTTTCTCTCTCCCTCTACATGTGTATGTATATATATATATATATACTAGAACCACGCGCGCGCTTCGCGCGGGCTTAGGTTCTAGCTAGGATCGTCACCGTCGTCATCATGAACATCACCATCGCAATCATTCCCCCCGCCAGGGCTAATGTACATCGTTTCTGGATGCTTCTGGCCGGAATACGAAGGGAGTTTCTGTAGTCAGAGTCTCCGGCGGAAGTCGCGGGGCCCCTCAGGATACTTACGGATGCCTCTGATAGTACTTAAGAAATGATGGACCCGTCATTTTGTACTTGTGCCTTGATCAGTGGGACGGGCTTCGCACCGCCGCACATCACAAGACACGCTCGAGCGGATCCAGCCGTGGCGACGTCGGGGACTGCAAAAGGTCGCAAGGACACGGAATCTGAAAGGAAGAGAGAGAGAGAGAGAGAGAGAGAGAAAGAGAGAGAAAGAGAGGGAGAGAGAGACAGACAGACAGAGAGCGAAGGAGAGAGAGAGAGAGAGATGGAGTGAGAGAGAGAGGGAGAAACAAAAAAAAAAAAAACAAAAAAAAAACAGAGCGAGAGAGAGAGAGAGGCAGAGAGAGGAAATGGAGAGGAGGCGAGCTTGAGTCAACGAAAGTCGCAGGGAAGGGGGCAAGGGGAAGAAGGCCAGAGAGCGCTGAAGGATACAAATACTGGAACCCCCTTGGGATTTTTTGGGGGGCCTCGCCCGGCCGCTCGCTGGGAGTTTGACGTAGCTTCTCGGGGGCCTCTGAACCTGTCGGGGGCCTCCTGGAAGCAGGTTCGAAGCATTTTGGAGCCGATTTGGGGCTTCTCGGGGCCTCCTTTGGGCCTCTTGGGGTGGAAGGCTCGAGCTTGCGGTTCGTGGTCCCCCTCTGGGCCCCCTCTTGGGCCCGTCTTGGGGCCCTCTTGGGCCATCTTGGGCGCCTCTTGGGCCGTCTTGGGGCCCTCTTGGGCTGTCCTGGGGCCCTCTTGGAAGCTGCTTGGGCCGTCTTGGGGCGGTCTTGGGCGCCTCTTGGGCCGTCCTGTAACGTCGGAAAGCCCAAAAGACAACTTTGTTGAAAATGTACGTTTTACGAAGGGAATGGGCCAAGTTTTGCGTCTAGGGGCCCTCTTGGGACGCATGTTGGAGGCTTCTTGGGGCCTCTTGGGGGCGTCCTTGGACGTCTGGAGGCCATCTTCAGCATCTTGGAGCCCTCTTGGAAGTTTCTAGGGCCGTCTTGGGCGCTTCTTGGGCCGTCTTGTCTGACCGGGGAGGCGTCTGGCAAGCCCCGACGAGCCTCCGGGCCCCCCGGGGCCCACATTTGTGGTCGAGGTCCCGGCCCCGGGCCCCCGGACCCGGTGCGCCGTTATGTGTGTGTATATATATATATCACCATATTTATATATATATATATATATATATATATATAATATATATATATCAATATATATATATATATATATATAATGTTCCCCCATCCATCTCGTCCTCGTCCTTCTCGTCCTCCCTCCCTTTCCTCTTCATATTTATATATCCCTCTGTTCCTCCACTGTTAATATTTATAAACCCCTCCTCGTCTGACCACCGGACGTGTCGGTAGGGCGGGACAGGTGTTTCGCCTGAGACTTTTCCCGCGTGTAATCGTGACCCCGAAGCTGGACCTTCCCAGTCATTGCACGAATGGAAAGGACATGTCAACATGTGGTTCTTGCCTGCGCGCTGCGCGCATTCGCCGCGCAATCACATCGCAAATATGTCCAACACTTACATGGATGGGAACATGGGTGTCTTCAGATGTGATATGCTGACAAACCGCGCGAAATCGTCCCAACAACTTCCGACTCGTACACGGATGG